AAATTCTGTAAAATCTGTGGTAATGTCTCCTAGATCTTGATATTGTAATTTTAAAAATGTATAATTGATATTGTGTAACAGGAAGTAAAGATCTAATGGAGCAGGGAAAGTGGGAGGGGTAGGGGAAAGGAAAACAGGGAAAAGAAAAAATATTACAAAAGGGAAAAATGGAAACAAAATCTTTGCAAGTAGGGAAGGGTGGAGGGGTTGAAGGGAGGGCAGGGGAAGGGGGAAAAAAAAGAACCAAGATACTCATGTAATGGTATAAGATCCCAATGATGAATGTAACTGTACTTTATACCAAAAATGTACCAATAAACTTAATGGGGAAAAAAAAGACTCTGGGGTGTCTCTTTAAATAATACCAATACTGAGAATGGATGGAAAGAACTAGCAACTTGATTCCCCCTTTGGAATCTACAAATTGATTTTGGACATTTGGAACTCACTTATCATGGAAACTGTATGATTCAGAATTGGTCTCCCAGCTGCCCCACTGACAAAATAAATTCCCCTATGTACTGTCAATGTTTTTGGGGGTCATTTCTTTTTTTCTCCTAGTTCTTTTTCTTCTCTAAAAATATTTCAGCTATGTTCAGAGAATAGGGTAGGACTGAAGAGCTACACACCTACAAATCACTTTTACTCTAGGTACAGGTAGGAAGCCATTAATATTTAGGTCATGGCCTAGAACGAGAGACAAACTTGGTGAGTCACAAAAGCATCTGTTTATTTAGGTATGCAGCATAGGAATGTGACTCTTGGATATGAATACTCCTACATCAGTTCCTGGAATCTGAGGCCCTGCTGAATATCCACTGTCTCCAACACCAGCATATGATTATAAACTCGAGCAAAAGCAGCCGCTGCAGCAGCAAAATGATCATTCTTATCATCTAGATGAGAACTTTGTAGTTCTATTAAGAATTTTAGGGCTGATAAATTTTAGCTCCAAAAGATTTTTTTTTATCTTTCCACTCAAACTGAAATTAATCTGACCCACCATTTTATACTTTTATCTATTTGCTTCACTTCTTATCATAATTTATATATTACATGAATTATTTTAATCTGATCTTAATTATTTGAGAAAATTTACTAACAAAGTATTTGCTTACAAAATATTTATAAATATTACATGATAGTCACCATTTCAGGTATTTAAGATATGTAGTAAACGGATAAAAATTTCAACCTCGATAGATCTTACATTTTAGTGAAAGAAACAGACACTAAACTAAACTGAAGTTTCCTTTAGTGAAAGGAAACTACACTAAACTAAGTGTAGATGGGAAGGGAATGTGGAGATGGAGAAAGACAAGAGAGGGGAGGGGAAGAAGTTAAAAGGATCAACATACTGTATGTATACGTACCGATTCCCCACGATGAGTGTATGTATTATGCACCACAAACACATACTGATTTAAAAAAGGGAAAAACATAAAATTATATTTTGAAAAATGGTCTTGCTAAGTTGACCAGGCTAGCTTGATCCTTGCAATCACCTCACCTTAGTCTACAGAGTATCTGGGGTTACAGGCATACCATATCTGGGTAAATGTTTATGTCTTAACCAACAGTATTACTAGTATAAATTCACAATTTATTTTATGAGTAATTCTTAATTTTCTTCTATTTCTTGGGAACTTTCTGCCTATTACACAATGAACTTTACATGGAACAGTGTGTATGTTTCCTCTGGAAACAAATTTTATAATTTCTTAGTAATAAAAATGAAGTAAGCTAATTGATCATCTGTTTCACTGTATTAGTGAAAATTTTAATTAGAATGAGGAAAATTCCTTAACTTTGTACTAAACAAATGGTGATGCAAATGAATAGATGAGTAGTCATTTTCATTAGAAATCAATTTGGAGGGCAGGAACATGGCAAAATGGTGTAAATTATCAAAAAAAATCCAAGTCCTTTAAATTTTCCTTCTCTTCTTGAAATTTACTTTAAGCCACATTTCCTTAAATGGGAGAAATATTTAGATTTTTTGGCCTGTAGGTCGAATTCAAAGGTAAACTACTCAGGATTTATTTTAATTTAATAGCTTAACCTATGTACTTCAAGAAGAAAGAAAAAGACCTAACATTATGCATGTAAATTTGCTTTCAGTTTTATACAGGCAGATAAGGTAGACACAGATTCTTTCATGCAATTGGTTATTGTTAAATTATGTAGTGCCAACTAGCAAAGAATAGGTGCAGTTCATTAAGATCATGACATAAACTGTACATATCTATTCCTATAAGATATAATTGTTAAAAATCAAAATATATCTTAAGTGTACAACATACAAAATAAGGCTTTCGTGACATCTCATAAAAATTTTTCTACAGCAAAAAGATCTCTTCATTTTTCTTTATATAAAGCTAAATTTTTAAGTGTTGTGTTCTAGAAAGACCATAGAACCAATGCTCAAGGCCTTGATCTCTTTTTCCTAAACTAACGTGTTAATCTTTGCTATCTAACATGCACCCAAATTATTTTACTTTTCTCCTTAGAAAAGTTATTCTTCCCTTTGTGTTTTCTGCCTCAATCCATTGTACCCCAGTCTACCTTTACCTAGTTGAGAGCAGTACAACTGCCTCCTGTGCTTCTCTCTCTCTCTCTCTCTCATCCTCAATGTCTGATTAATCAGAAAGCTCAGTTAGATCCAGGTCCTCTTGCCCTTCATGTTGTCACCACACTAAGCTTCCCACAGGCAGAACTCACCATGCTGCCCATCAGGTTCAAGGCTCTCTATTTCCCCAAAATGGGCTCTGAGTTCCTTTGCCTCTTGTGAAGAGCTGTCCCTAACTGGCCTAATCTAGCCATCGTTTCACTCACCACTAGCACCTATGCTGAGGAAGATGTGTCCTGAAGCCCTTCTCTTTACAGAGTTGGATCTTTGAGTGAATTGTCCTCTCTATGCTGTTTTCACTCTCTGCATTCACTCATTTATTAACTGATAAAGTTTAATGTCCTTTGCAAACTTAATCTGTGTCACACAGGGGAATGTGCTAGGGTCTACAACAGAGCAAAAATACACATGCCCCCATACTCATGGAGTTTGCACTCCTCTGCTTACACATATGTACTATCTTCTTTCCAGACTCAGTGTCTACATCAGACTCCCTCCTAACAATCTGCCCCGATCACATTCATTGCTCTAGATTGTGGAAGAGTTGGCCTTGGTTCATGCCTTTGTTTGGGTATTTGTGTCAGACTTCTTTTATTTTTTAAGTCTACATTCCTTACTAGATGCTATGCTGCTTCCAATAAACAGTAGGTCTTTTCCTCAATAGACCTTCCCACTATGCTGAGACAGAATTGGATATCAAAGCAATCTGAATGGCTTGACTAAAAATTTAGGCATTGTGACGAAAGACTAGCTTTCTAAAGATGTCCACAAGAAAGTACTGAGTGTGTGTGCATTCTTTCTGTATAAGCATGCCATTTTTCACCAGTATTTAAAGTTCATTTCTAATGTATTTTTCCATAATATCCCCAGCCTTACTGTTGATTTTCATTGTTTTAAGAGAATGACTTTTATCCGTAATGATAATTGAAAGAGATCAAATGTATGTGTACATACATAAAATATAAAAAAAATTTTTAAAATTCTTACTGTATATGTTGTTAATGGCTTAAACTATTTTAGTATTTATCTTAGTGTTTATTTTCTTTTGCATAGAAATTGCTCTTGCTACAAAGATTTCTGTAAACAACAAATATTCTTTTGCCTATTGAGTTGTATGCTAATGCCTGACAGCCTAAGGAAGGAACATATGCTCTATTCTCATATCCTTAATGTCATGGTTACTGGAGGACTATTTCTATGCAGGATTATTTTTCAATGGTCTTGAGATATATTTCTCCCAGTGTGACCTGGTATAGTATTTTTATATTGATTTATTCTGGGGAAATAAATTATATAGGATAGTTTACAAAAGTCCCCTTCCTTCCTTTAATATCTCGATGGCTACAACAACTTTTTGCCTGTATTTGACAGAAGCAACTCATGAATTTCATATTGAATTTTTAGTGACAGTGGAAACAATAAAGTTACATGATCACTTATAATTATATGATAGGAGTTGCTCTCAGTTTATAACCTGGAAGAAATGAAAATGCTCCTAATGAAAATTAGGCTATTAGGTCAGCAAGGTTTTGATAAAAAAGAAAAAGTATTCAGAGATGAAAATTATATTTCTTAAGCTACATTGCTTCACTGCCATCACCATGATCTAATAAAAGGAGAAAATAAGGACAATAATTTTTAGACCCTAAAATGGTTCCTATCTAGAGTTCAGCTCATTCATGAAGGCTCATCAAACCATTAGACTACACTTTGACTTATTCCAGCAAAGTCATTTTTAGACAAAAAGCAAGTAATATATCTTAAAATGCAGATGCATCCAACTACAGCTCTAATATGATTTCACATATAACTATTTAGAAAGAATCAAACTTAATGTACCTTTTGGATCTCCATCTTGGTTGAAATGTCCCCTGTATTACTACTGTACCTGCAAAATAAATTGATCCAGTTTATAATTTTATTAAAATGTAATTTGAGAAATTTTAAGTAAAATGTCAGTATTCTTTACCCTGGAACTGGCTTTGTTTTCTCTTTCTTCTCCTTTGTTTCTTGTCCCATAGAAGTTTCTGCAAAACATTAAATAAAATAAAAACAATTTAAATAAGAGGTTAGCACTTTGCTTGTGTGTATGTTTGTATGAGAAATGGAACTATTTCTAGGAATTAAAAATAAATTCAACTTGTATTGATATAGCTTTCATCTCACAAAGTATTTTATAAGTACTAACTTCCCCACCAACACTTTTCATTGGATCAGAGCAACCAGAATTAAATAGGGAAATCTGATGCTATATTCAAATACAATGTAGGAATTAAAGATTACCAGTATTATGTAAGAAAGTCACTTTAGGACAGAAAGAATAACCTGGAAGTCTACTTATAAAGGCCCAAGAGTGTTCCATCAGACTGGCTAGAGGGTAGAAAAGACATTCTTCTTCTTTTTACCAGAAATATAAATTCAAGAGTTAATTTAAGATAACACATTTGTATAATATAATTCCTTTATGTAGATACTGGGAACTATAGAAAGTTCAAATTCTTATCATTCATATGTGAACAGTTTATGCCTAATTGTCCAAAGGGCTAGACCATACTGTGGTCATATCAACACATGATACCATCAATATCCAGGCCGACGTTGGCAGCTTCATTGATATAAGTCATCTGATTGGCCTCAACCTCTGCTTCAGCACTGATGATCTGCTGTGACACAGCTTCCACGATGGGCATCACCATGGCAGCTGTAGAGGTGTTGCTGAGCCACATAGATAAGAAGGCAGTAGTGCTCATGAATCCCAAGGTCAGCCTGAAATGTGAGAGGCTTTAGTGCAGACTTGGTACTCTCTATCTTAGGAAGCTCTGTATTATCTAGTAGTAAAAAATATTGTCTGTAACTTGGTAATTAAGTTTTTCAAAACACAGAAGGTTAAGGTTCAGCCCAGATGGTGAACTCTGAGCACAAACATAGCCATGTAGAAATCAAAGTAACACATGTAAAAGTAGAGTTAATAAGGGATCTGTCTCCTAGGAACCATAAGAATTGTCTCTCCCAAAACAGAAAAAGGATGAATGCATATCAAACTGAAAAGTGATGTATAACAGCTTATAAAACTACACTAATACTTGAATTCTCTCTAGCCTCAGAAACAGGTAAGATGAAGGTTCAAACAACTTTTAAATTTAGTCTCTTAATTTTTATTTCCTTTTGGTTATATCTGTGTATTAGATGTGTACCAAGAAGACATGAGAACAAGAAGAGATTAAAATTTATAAATCTTCTTTTTACTCCTTTATTCTTCTGGTCCAATATATGGTGGGTGAAGAAAGTGATGAAAATCACTTGCTAAAATGAAGTTTCAAAATTTTCTGTAGATTCTACTATTTATACTGTCTTAAATCTGACATTCCTTCTTGTCAAGAATTGTATTTATTTATTACATTGTCTTCTGTTAATAGTAGAGTATTTTGTCTTTAAAAATAGCATATATGAGATTTTAGGATTTTAAACTACGTCTGTAAACTTTCAAAATAACACTTGGTAAAAAGCATGATTTCTTTGGAGCAGCAGACCCCAAAAAATCATTCAGGACCTGTTTATAAAATTCTCAAACTCTTTTATTAAAATAAATTTTCAAGAATAACTCCACCCTATGTTTCAAATTCAGGTATAGTTTATATTTCCTTTGTGTGAAACAAAGTAAAAGAAAATGCTTAGAGATCTATTTCAACAAGTATTGATTCAACAATAGTATAGTAATAATAATAATGATAGAAATAATTTTAACTTGTATCTGTAAAATGTGAAATCTTCCTATTAAAAAGAGTGGGATTAGCTGGGCATTGTGGCACATGCCTGTAATCCCATATTTTGGGAGGTTAAGGCAGGAAGATCACAAGTTAAAGCCCAGCTTGGGCACTTTAGTAACTTGTCTCAGAAATAAATAAAAATTAAAAAGTCTGGAGATGTAGTTCAGTGCTAAGGACCTGGGCTCAATCTCCAATACTGCAAAACAAAACAAAACAAAACAACATAAAAGTGGGATCAGATACAGCTTCTGTCTAGTGAAAATGCCTAAAGCTGGCAAGCCATTTGGTGGCATACTGAACAGTACTCCTCCTCTACTGTGCAGTGTTATTCCCTCCCCTGGGGCACTGGTCTTATGGTCAAGGAAAGTATACATTTCTATAACACAGAGGGACACTGAGTACTGTTTCATTTTAAGAGTAAAGTGCCTTAAACACATGTATTATAAAAATTTTTAAGTAATGTTTTTTTCTGAATTTGTCAAGGATGAGTCATGTATATTATGTATAATTTAGCAAAATAATTTTTTCTATCAATGATAGGTGCTGATGGGACTAAGCCCTAGAATTATGCAATAGAAGTCAATAAATTTTTTTTTATTTTCCAGAGAAACATGAGAAGGGAAAAACCACCTAAGGCTTTAAAGCAAAATATTATGCAAATGATTATGAAACTGGAAATTTTCTTTAGCTTACATTCATGCTATTAAATAGTATTTGGAATAAAACCAAAATATTCCATGAATTTAATGAAAAAAGGATTTATTTCAATCAGTCAAATGAATGATTTTGCATTCTACAGATGAAAGTTCTTAGTTGATTGTTTCACTTTCCAACAGTTAATTTAAAAAGAAAAATGTTCACCTTGAAATTTTTTGCACACATTTGTATTTTGTCAGTTATGCCTTTGTCTTTATTTCATAGCATCCTCCTTGTTGATAAGGGATGTTCTCAAACAACTTTTGAATATGTAATCACCAAATAAACAAGATAGGAATGAAATTTACTCTGAAGTCTATCATTTTTGTCTGTTGAGGTTCAAGGCTTCTCTCATCTTTGAGTGGAATGGTACATTAAAAGTGAGAGAGTTGTGTGTATTTATTTTACTCTCCCTGTAATTAGACATGCAGTGAAAGGAAAATTGTTTTATCCTACAGCTTGAGTATACTTGATGTCACTTTCATATTTACAGAAGAAGAAAAAGTCGTGAATTATGCTGGTGTACAAGTGACTCCCTGGACAGCATTACTCATTTGGCTATTTTCTCTGAACAAAAATGGTCTTCAGAATGTAAACTGGAAGCAGGAAATAAACAGTACTTACCATGCTGGGTTCACACCCACCATCATCACCATCCTGAGAGCAATCCTCTTGTGCAAATTCCATTTTTCTGTTGATGTTGCTAAACAGATAACTCCAATCAACAGCAGGTGAAAATCTTTGAAATAAGTAGATGCCACCTGAATTCACAATTAAACCCATAATTATTCATGTTGAGGGGGATGCACGAGAAAGTCATAATTAGACTGTCCTTTGACCTTTGATTACATTATCTTTCCATTTTGTTGAGAAACATGTAGATGTGTCTGAATACAAATGAAAATATGTTCTATATTCTTATCCAGGAATAGTACTATTCACGGCAGGAATAAAAGAGTACTCAGGATACTGGATTTGAGTAACTTCAGGAAAGTGCTGCTATGCCTTAACTTCTCCATCCATAAACTAACGTTATTTTTAATAGTCTGTGGCAGAGTAGCAATAACAGATTTGGCAACGTCCTGAATCAAATTTTGAAGGGAGGATGTGTCTCATTTATCCTTACATTTATGGACTTAATACATGCTCAGCATATATGCATTCAATAGATTTTTAATTAATAGATCTTGACTAGAGAAGCTTAGAAGTTATTAGACAAGGAAAACTGAGTAAATAAAGAAGCCTATAAATTATCTTAGATATATAAGAGAGACCTCCTTCAAAGTGGGATTGAAATAAGCAGCAGCTTTTTCCTAGGTAATTTGTTTATTTGTTTTTTACAAGATATAGTATTCAAGTTGACTTTTAAAAGATAAATAGATATTTGAGTTATCCTCTGACCTTATTTCTTTTGCAATTTTGACCATGGAAATAAAACTCACTGACTGCTATGGTCTGAATGATGGTGCTCCCCGCTGCCAAAAAAAACCCCCTTCATTCTTTGAAATCTAACACAAACCTAATACTGTCTCCACTCTCTTATAAAAGAAACTTAAAGGAGCTCCTTTGCCTCTTTCGCCACATGAAGATGCAGCAACAGCGTAATATCTACACCATAGAAAGTGAGCTCTTATGAACACCATATCTACTGGTATCTTGATCTTGAACTTCCAAGAACTATGAACACTGTATTTCTGTTGTTTGCAAATTACCCATTTTAATACATTCATTTTAATAGCCTGAGTAGACTAAGCCACTGACCTCATTTTACCAAGACTATGAAGATTAAATGAGTTCAAATGTAGAATTACTTTAAAATTGCAAACAACTCAGAAAGAAGCTATTATAGTAGTCCATGTTTATCAAGGGTTTCACTTTCTGTGGTTTCAGTTACCCACAATCAACTGTGGTCAAAACATATTAAGTGAAAAATATAGTTGTAAACAATTTAATTATGTCATGCCATTGTGTGTGGCATGATAAAATCTCATGCTTAGGATGTGAACTGTCCCTTTGTCCAGTGTATCCATGGTGTATACACCACCCGCATATTAACCACTTACATAGCAGCTTTCTCAGTTACCACATCAGCTGCTATAGTGTCATAGAACTTGTGTTCAAGTAATCCTTAGTTTACTTAATAGTGGCCTCAAACCACAGGAGTGCTAATTCAAAAAAAGGTACCAGGGCATAAAACATGGAAGGACAGATTAACTGTGGAACTATATAGTAACATACAGGGCAACTAGGAGAAAAAAACATAGTTCAAATAAGGCCCAGTACTGTCTGCAGCTCTAGGCGTGGACCAGAGTCTTGGGACATACCCCTTGCAGGTAAGAGGAATCTACTATATTAGTAAGTTATTTAAATACAGGAATAAATAATTCGGGGTCTTTAGATGTTCCTGCTATGATCTGTTTAAGTTATGTGAGGAATTAGACCTTGTACAAAGGGTACAGAGGATAAGTATTCTAGACTTTCCGAGCAGCATTGTCTCTGTCACACCCAATTCTGAGAGAAGCCTAGATTAGTAAAGTATATCTGTGAGTGTGTCTAGGTGGGCCATGGGGGTGGTACTTTGAGAATTACATCTAGTTCAAGGTTCCTCCCTCTCTGCCTTTACCTGTTTCTACTTCCTGGGTGCCATGAAGTGACCATCATGTTTCATTATGATCTTCTGCCATGACATTTTGGAATTGGAGCCAGCTGAACATTGACTGAAACCTTAGAAATAGTACTAAAATGAACCTTTTTTTTATGTTGGATATGTAGATACTTTGTTCCAGCAATGGAAATAACGAATGGATAGCCTAGTTGTCTAGTGGGGTAATGGAAGAAGGTGCTGCTGTTGGTTGTAAATGACACTGATAAAAATAACTATTTTTAAACATATTGATATATCAAACAAAATTTATAATGAGACTTGAAATCTACCTGCAAGATCAAGATATTTATATTACTGTCTCCAAATGAGATTTCATCAAAACACATGGACTTTTGAAATCAGAGCACTGGGGTTAGTTATATAATTCACCGGTTGAGTAACCTTTGTACAAATCAATAAGAAGTTGTAAAACTTGAGTATACCTTACATTAAGTTTGTGAATTAAATGAGATAAAGTTTCTGAAAAGGTCATTTGTAATTTATAATGCATATGATTATAAAAACACTTTCAAAGTTTTTACATCAGATGTTTTGTGAAATCTAACTACCAAGTTTCTAGTTTTTACATTAACTGACTCATCAGCAGATTTAATAATTACAATCTTGCTTCATCCATAAAACATTTTCTTCACATGGATTTCAGGGCCCTACACATTTCTAGTTTTTCTCCTTCCTTATTAACCTGCTCGTCTTAATCTCCTTGGCTAGTACTTTCTCTTCTCACTAACTTAGTAATGTTGCAGTTATCCAGAGCTCTGTTCTTTGTACTCTATCTTCACTCATTCCTCAAGTGTTTTCAGGTCTCAAGGCTTTAAACACCATCAATGTACTGATGTCTGCAAGAGCTAATATTTCCAGATCAGCCATCTCTCCTGAACTCTGGACTATCCATCAGGTATATCTACCTGCTTAGTCAATATCTTCACTTGTCCAATAGGTTTTTAAAACTCGTCCAGCACTGTACTCTAGGTGTTAGCATTCCTCTTACAATAAACCTACCCTGACCATAATTTTTTTTGTATTTTAATCGATGGCAACTCCATTTTTCCAGTTGGCAGATCAAAGGGCTAAGAAGCATCATCAAATATCTTCTCAGTCATATGCCACATCCAATCAGTCAGGAAAGCTCATTGGTTTTATCTTCAAAATTTATCAACAACACATTCAGTATCTTTTTTACTGTTCTGGTCTGGATTTTCACTGTCTCTCACTTGGATTGCAATTATCTTTTTTCCTACCTAGTTTCTCAATATAGTAGCTCGAGTTATTCTTTTAAAATCAAAGTCAGATCAATTGCATCTCTCTTCTGCCCAAAACTCTCCCAAGGGTTCCACTTCATTAAGAGCTAAAAATTTTGCAAGAGCCTATTTTGGCCCCACATGGCCCATGCACCCTTACATTACCTTCATGATATTATCTTCTGTCACCGTTGATTTATCACCCTGCTCCAGTCACACTGCAGATCTGGACCTGCCATAAGGCCTTTGCACTGGGTGTTCCCCTTTCTGCAGATGTCACTTTCCAGATATTCAAATGGATAACTTCCTCTTCTCCTGTAAATCTTTGTTCAGGTATCACCATCTCAAAGAGGTCTAACCTGACCAACAGCTACCCTCCCCAATCCCCATTAAACCTTTTTCATAGCATAGCATCAATCACCTTTCTAACTCACTATTTAATGTTTTGGTTTCTTTAGGAAGATTGGACATCTTTGTGTCTTTTTAATTCATTGATGTTTTTCCAAATGTGCAGCAGGTCCTATCATATTAAATATTTACTGAATGACTGAACAAGTACATAAAGTAAGATCTATATATATACAAGTGTGAACATTTTCACATATATATAACTTATAAATAACATTTTTGATAATAATATAGATTACCAACATTTGTTATTAACATTTATTATTAATGTTGAATAATAATAATATTGATCATTTGAAATATCAAATTGGGTACATTCTAAATGCTTAGTGTTTCAAGTTTAATTCAACATACATGGGAAAATTTCAATTGTTGTTATTCTTCAAGTGCAGTAATGTGTTCAGCAAAATATAAGCATTTTGCCTTGGCTTCATTAATAGGTAAAGGAAGGTTAGAACTATTGTGACCAAAAAAAGAGGTACTTAGGACCCTGAATTGAGATGAGTGTATTTATAATGCATTGTAGTATTCAATGACAGGTTTGTTATTCAGAGATGCTGCAGTAGGTTAGAATAATGATTTAATCTCGAAATTGTGAATATTAAAACACATAATAATGCTATACTATTGTTCATATCAATGTTTCACATTATATTATTTAATTTGTGACAAAAATTCTTGAGTTTTGTGGCTTTATCAAGTCTCACCTTTTGATGATAAAAGTTATTAGGTGACATGGTAAGAATCATCTAAGTAGGTAGGATAAATACTGGATTTTAAGCTTAGACCTTCGAACTAAATATCTAGCTTTTTTCAAAATATGCTGTACCTTTGGCAAGCTATTTGTGAGCTTTAAAGTCTAGTTGCCCTATTTGGGAAGAGGATGAAAAAACAAGAAAAGTTTTGTCTACTAAAAGTCCTAATCTAAGTGCTTTGAAGTCCTATGAAGTCCACTTAAGCTCCCTAGGTACAGAAATTCACATAAAGTACAAGACAAACTTTGGCTGAAACACTAGAGTGAAAATGATAATTTTTTTTACCTTCTCAGTATTCTGAATGCTTATCAACAAATGATAATATTATTAGCTCAAATATATCAAGATTATACAATGTATCAGCATCTACATTCATTAACTCACTTAATTCTTAAATATTTTTGACAAACTAGCTAGTTCTGGAAAGGGAAAAAAGATGTTGCTGGTGATGGAATTGGAGGTAATGGATTTGAGTCTGTGGGTTGAGGATGGAAAATTGAGGTCTAGAAATCATAAAGACTGGAAATGGAACACATAAGAAGGAAATCATATTAATTTTTAAAATCCAAGCAACAGCATCATGAAAAAGAACAATGAAGAATCTTACATGCTAGGTACAATTTTAATTGATCAAAGTGATTGAATTTCAGATGGGGTTCAGTAAAGCTAAATTGATTGAAAGAATAAATTATTCAAAATGACATGATTTTCTTTGTGGTTTGTTGGACTTAAACGGTCAATGATAGCATCTGTTAGGGAGATACTGTGAGAAGATTCTGCCCCGGGTGAGGACTGATCTGAAAGGATGCCCCCCAAATGTTAAGAGTCTATGGCTATTAAATTAGTCAGATGCTGGTACCTCTGGGGATAGAGGCTTCTTGGGCAGGTATCTCCAGCAACAATCATACAAACACTATTGTCATCTACAGATTTGCTGTTTCAGTTAAGCACCCCTGTACCACAAAGAGGCAGTGTGTTGGAGAATTTAGGAAACTTAGATTCTTTATCACAAATTCCATGTCAATAGAATGTCAGCCTGGAGGTATCAGAAACTAAAGTACAGCCCTGGCTAGGCTTTCTTCCAAATCCATGTTATTTAGAGACAAGATTAGGAGACAAGGGTAAACGCAGCAAGAAAGAGGAGCAGAGGGGGTCAGAAAGGCAAAAAGGTTTGAGTTTCAAAACTGGGAAGAATGACATGACAATAAAGAAGGGAGCAGCTTCTCTCACAGAAAGAAGTGTAATCAAGAGTTAATTAAGAAAATTCTCCACCCATGTTAAAAATAGGTAAACCTCAAGAGAACACTGTTGCATCTATGCAGAAAAGTCCAAAGGTGATAAATTGCCCTGACTGGCAACTTGAAGTTGTCATTTTTCCTGAGAATGTTTCAGCTTGTTGTTCAGGCAGCCATTGTTTGCTGGGTGGCTGGAGGCTACATGGAGATAGATACTCTGGTTTCAGTCCATTTTTTGCTCTTAATGGGAAACTGAATCCATTTTCTTCCGATGGGTACCCTTAGATTGTATAAAGGTAAGAAATAGCTCTCAGCATGAATAAACTCCTCTCAGCAAGAACAAAATAGAAGTACACACAGAAGTTAATTTGGCTCTATCTTTTGAAATGGCAGGTTTCTGGAAAAGAAAACAGGGAAGCTTTTTCTTTATTAAAAATGAAAATTGTTTTTCCAACACTGTGAAACTAAAGCCTGGTGAATAGAAAAGTGTTATGTGGGATATTGAGATGTTTCTTTTGTTGGGAGAGAGGCATCGGTCACAGATGTCAACAAGAGGAGATGGGACACACATTTCTCCACAGAAACACATTACTCAAGAAATAACAGCCTGTGTGTTTTTTCCAGAAGGGGATACACATGCAGAAACCCAGAGGGAAGGAATGACTGGAAATTTGGCAGGCTTCTGGGGAAGTTGTACCAGCAGGATTACTGCTCCTTTAAAAACCAACTTTCTCAATGGAAATCACAGTACAAAACAAGGAATCTAACTTTGATAACTTTTGTGTGAGAACTTACATGCGTAGAAGGCAGGATCCCAAACATGGGGAACATTAATGCTGGCAGCAAAGCTGTTACTGACAGAGGCAAAGCCTCTGTCACCCAAAATATGGCAACAACAAAGAGTACGTAGGCACATTCTGCTTCCTAGAGAGAACAAAGGCAAAACACAAGGTCAAATAATGAGGATGGGGAAAATTATCGTTCAAATCACAACTATATTGGTTAAATGGAGCCATGTCATGTTGAGGAAGAAAGAAGCTCTGAAGTTCTCTGTATCTTTGAGTTGCCAGCAAGTAGTCACTTTTAGAGATTCCAAAAGACAATATTTAATGAACTTGAAAAACAAAAAAAGAAAAAAAAAAGCCAAGTTGCAGCCTTTCATCCTGGGGCAGGGGCCCTACCTTCCAATTTCTTGGTGCTAGCTTGGGTGGGACTCAGGCAGACCTGCCTTCCTGTCTTTCTAACCAAAAGGGGGAAATCAACCTGGTAGAAAAGTTTTGCTGTACTTTATCTCACAGGAAGGGCAATGATAGATTAAGTGCCATGGGAAAGCCAGCTTCTAAGTGACATGAACCTGGAGGTTCCGAACCTTCTGCTTTGCTTTTTGAGAAAGACTGCCGAGTTACTGGGGAGACACAGGGAGACTCAATAGGAAGGTGATTCTTAATAGAACCTGTTACTCTGTTTAGTATAAAGCTGTAGGCTTGTGTTTTAGGTCACTGATAAGAAGTAATTAAGACTTATTTTATGTGACTTACATAATTTTGATATAAAAATCACCTGGAATGTACTGTGATCGATAAAATTAGTATCTATTATATAACTTTGTTTTACTCCCACACTGCTTACTTTCTGCAAATTCTGAGTTGTATTTGAAAATTTACAAAAGCTGTCTGTTGGGTTTAATGAAGTCTTTTGTTTAAGCCTCATACAATTTCCAGCTCTGCTGTCTGCTTCACTTACCTCAGGCTGAGTCCTTTGTGCTTGGTGTTTACTCTCCCAACATCCCTACATCTCTGGTAGATTTCTAAGAGATCCTTAATAAGTCAGGACTGTGTCATATCTTTATTGTGCTATGTTTTTAAAGGAAAAAGAATAAAGTTGTTTTGATGTTGACAGTTTTTTACAGAGTCTGCCTCTATAGTCTCGACAAACAGTAAAACAGCAAAATGAAGCCGAGCCTTGACTATGTCTTCCTAAACTGCTCTAGAGAGAATTTGTGAATACTAGTTCAATTTAAAATGTCAGTGTAGAAGAAAGGCTGTGTATTTCCCTGCAATGAGAACTCATGGATAACCCATAATTTCTTCCTTACAATTTCTCGTTTTCTACCATACTTTGAGGAACCTGGGTTTCAAAGACAAACATGAACCTTTTCCTATCTGGCTCCCTAATTACGACCTACCAGTCTGCTGGTCCTACTTCTTCCCCTGTAATTTTACCTCTAACTCTCTCCCTGAGCCCACTCAACTCCTGTACCAGGCAAAGCTGTTCTGAAACCAAATCACTTCCCAAGAGTCCATTTTGACTTTGTCACTCCCTTGAGTAAAGCAGATTAAAGGGTTGGCCATCAGGACAACTACATGGAGCACCAATTTATAAGTGTCTACTAGAACATCAGAGAAATAAAGAAAATGTATGCACTAGGTGAGTGTGCACTAGGTATGCACTAGGTCACTACATACAACCTTATGAGCTTAAGGGTTGGAATTTTATATCAACATGTGTCTTCTTTAGCTAGATAGCTACTTTAGCTTTATCTAATCTGCTCAGATGGGACACTTTTGGTGACAGAATAAAAAGCAAAATTCTAAGGATTGAATTATTAACTTGCATGGACTACTTTTCTACCTTAACAAGTCTAGCCCTGGCTAGAAACAGTCTAGAGTGGGTGACAATCAATTGTGTTTAAAAAACAATTTAAAAATTTCCTCTCGTATTTGTCACTTTTATTCTAACTATAATAAGATTTACCTCACTACTTCCCAACATATCAATTCTCTGTTTCCAAAGTCTTCTTTACATAGCTTTTTGACTTTTGGGTTCTGATCTCTGCTCCTTATTGTGAACTGTTTTACTTAATTCTAATTCATACCGTTCATCCAGGAGTAAACCAGTAAGCCTTGTTTAAGGGCTGGTTTCTGTCTTATTATGCCCATATTTTGAACCCACTGAACCTATTTGACTATTTAGGTGAAAGATTTGCAAGTTTAGCAAGAAAAATCAATTTGTTTGACTTACAATGTCTTATTTGTGGATATGTGCATATGTAAATGTTTAATTTGAGTCAGAATTTACAAACAAGTAAATTTCGTATTTAATATAAAGTAAATTTCTGGCTTTTCTTTAAAAAACTGAAAGATTTTGTAATAGTGAGATTATATTCTTCCATGGCAGCAATTTTCCAAACTCAAAGAGAACTTACATATGTCCCAGTTCTACATGCTATTGCCACCCCACTTCACTCATTCTCTTGGCTTCTTGGATTTTGTTAGCACTTGAATGAAATCTTTGATAGAAAAATACTGCCTACCTATTTTGCCTTTCAAACTTTGCTTTCCATCCCAGGATCAGCATTTATTGCTCATTGGGTTTCTTGCTTTACCTTCCATGTGGTCTATAAGCCAGCAATATTAGTACTATCTGGAGCTTATGAGAAATGTAGGCTATCAGGTCCTTTCCTAAATGCAATGAATTGAGGTCAGTATTTTCCAGCTTTCCAAGGGTTTCTCATCTTGGTCAAAATTTGAGAAGCCCAGGGATACATGCTTATTCAGACCTTTTCTCTCATCTTTAATGCTGGGTGCAAAATCTTGCTTCTGGGTAGCAGCTTTCTGCTCAAGCTGATTCCCGGGATTTATAACCTTTTTGGAAAACTTGTCCACATTTCAATATATAGTTAAAATTCATGTCTTGTCCATGAAGCTGCCCAGGTTATATATGTGTAGTTCATATTTTTTCTATTAGTTCAGAGCATTACAATTGCCACTGGCTCAAGCACAATATCTGCATTATCTCCATAATAGTCACTTTTCTGTCACTGGGAACAAATACCCAATATCCACAACTTAAAGAAAACATGTTTATTTTGGTTCACAGTTTCAGAGGATTTAGTCCATGGTTGGCTATCTCCAAAGCAGAAAATGAATGGTGGAAGGGAATGACAGAGAAAAGCTGTTCACTCCAATGGCAACCAGGAAGCAGAGTGAGGAAGGAGCTGGGGACAAGAATATACATTTCCAGGTCATGTCCCCAGTGATCCAACTCCTTCAATTAGGCATCACCTCCTAACATCACATTAGTTATGATCTCATTGATGGATTAAACCACTGGTGAGTATAGTGCATTCATGATCCAATCACCTTCAAAAAGCCCACATCTGAACACATGAGACTTTTGGGAGGACATTTTAGATCTAAACCACAACATTTTTGTCCCTGATCCCCAGCTTTATAATGCTTCCACTTTGGCTGAGCTGCAGAATTTTCACATCTTTCAGCTCTATTTTTTGTTTTTGATTCTCACTGTAGAGCTGGGTAAAGGCAACCAACAGTACCCATCCTACAACCTGAACACTGAGCTGCCTTGGAAATGTCTCTACAAGATAAAGTAGTCTACCACTTTTAAATTCAGCCTTATTTAAAGTCTTATGACATGGACAAAATGCAATCAAATTATTTGCCAGAATAGAATACACATGTTCTCTAGTCAAGTTTTCAATAGCGTCCTCATTCCCAACTAAAACTTCATGATTCTGGCTGTAATTGTCTGCATTCCTAATACCATTCCAGTTTTGTTTTTTTTTAACATGACCACAATTACCCATCAAGCTCTGTTTATAGCACTATAAGTACTCCTTACCCAACATCTCCAAACTTTTCCAGAGTCCTCCTACACACCAGTTCCAAAGGTTTCTCAACCACATGGTTACATATAGTCAAACCAATGACCTCACTTTTGGTACCAATTTTCTGGATTAGTCACTTTCCAATCACTGGAACAAAATACATCTACAACTTAAAGGAGGAGGGGTTTATTTTAGCTCAGTTTCAGAAAGTACAGCCTACCATCAGTTGACTCCAAACAGAAGTAGAATTATGGAAGGGCATAGCAGAGGTAACCTGCTCAACCCATGGCAGCTAGGTGAGAGAGGTGGTGGTGGGGTGGGAGCAGCTGGGGACAAGAATACACCCTTCTGGATGTGAGGGCAATCTGGCTGCAATATAAGTCATGCCATTGATTGCCAGGGTTGATTCAGCTGATCTGGCTGGCTAGGTGAATGTCCCTTCCTCCCTCACTGCTCCATGTGCATCCCTCCTGAAGCTGCCTGCTTGGTAGAAGAAGTTCCCCACAGAGGAAGACCATTTCTTCAATCAAGGGTATACTAGTAGCTGCATTCCCCTGCTAGAACCTCCAAACAAGGTCTCAAGAATACACTGTTCCAGCTCACACTTCCAGTGATCATGTCCTTCAGTGAGGTCTCACCTAATAATACATTCAGCTATGAACTGATCTATGGATTAATCCACTAAGTAGTATTATGTTTCCAGACCCAATCACCTTCCAAAAGGCCACATCTGAACACATGAGACTTTGAGGGGAGACATTTTACATCTAAACAATAAGGGTAACTGATAACTAGCTTCCCAGCATTTGTGGGACTTCATTCCAACTTTATTATTTCAACTTTTTCATATATGCAAGATACCAAATGTTTAGAAAAGGAGGAAAATGAGCTCCCTGTAATTGGGCTTTTTAATGTTAATTCTTAAATGTGATATGACTAAATATAGCTTATATATATATTACTTCATGTAGTTATCACAGTTGTCATTTTTGTGGGGAGAACACTTTTCATATACTGTTCTAAATTTTTTCAAAAATAAAACATACAGTTAACTGTAGTTACCATGTTGTACAATAAATCACTTGAACTTATTCCTTCTCAAGGAGTCTTCAGTTTTGTTCTTTTTGCTCAAGAGTATTTTTAGCCCTTTTGGGTATTTTGGGATACAATGAATTCTTTTGATTGTTAGTGTTCTTTAATGGGTAAGGTGGTCATCTTCCCCATTTTTCTCAGGAAAGTGCTGGTTTAAAGTTGTTGGACAGGTATTTTTACTGATTAGCAGCCCCTTCTCAATATC